GATGTTGGGTTTTTTATTTTGGTTGGTTATAGGTTTATTTCTAAAAATTTTATTAGCTATTTTTTGTGTTTTTGTGTTGTCGTGGTTGTTTTATCCAAGAGAGCTGCCTTTCCATTTGTTTCGTGGTTATTAGAGGCTATGCGTGCACCAACACCAGTTAGTGCTTTGGTACACTCCTCTACTTTGGTAGCAGCTGGTGTGTGATTTGTGTGTTGTTATGATTGATTATTTAAAAGTGTGGGGTTGGCTACGGATGTGATTGTGGTAAGTTGTTTTGTTACGATTTTTATTACTGGTTTGTGTGCTATTGGTTTTGGCGACTTGAAGAAGCTGGTAGCACTCTCAACAAGAAAAAAAATAGCATGATGTTTGCTATTTTTTTTCTTGGGTGGTCCACACCTAGCGTTAGTTCAACTATTGTGTCATGGTGTTGCCAAGTGTGGTTTATTCATTAGTGTTGGTGATATTATGAGTAGTGGAGGGGGCAGACAAAACTATGTAAATTTTTATAAACGTAAGAGTCTGTGAGAGCTTTGCTCTTTATTTTTTATAATATTTAGACTTTGTGGTTTACCATTTTTGGGTGTTTTTTTTTCTAAGCATCTGTTTTTTTTTGCAATATCTTGGTATAATATTTTTTTTGGGGTTGTTTGTTTTTTGGGGTTGGTTCTAAGTTTTTGTTATTCTGTGCGTTTGTTCTTATTGTGTGTGGTTGGTAGGTCAGGATATGGCCTAAGACTTGATAAAAATTTTTTTTTTGTTGTTTTAAAAATTCCAGTGTTTAGTGGTTTAAATTTATTTTTGAGTGATTTAGTTGTTGATTGATACGAATCAGGCTTGTGGGTAAGTGCTTGTTTGTTGTTTTGTTCAGTTATTGGTGTATCCTTGGGAATAATTGTTTCTTATACCCCCTCCACACTTGGTGGGGGTTGGATCATTAATTTAATGGGGATGGATAAGTGTGTTTATTTATTTAGGTGTTTTTACGGTTTAATTCGTAATATTGGGTTGATTTGTCACTATCGTTGAGATACCACACTAGTATCACACGCAATTTTAAAAATGGCTGGGGTTCGGTCTATCAGCTTTTTTGTTGCTATTTTTTTTGTTTTTTTTATATTGGTTATTTTCTCAACTTAGTATATTTTTATTATATCTATTTTTCGTGTAGAAGAAATGGTTTTACCTTATTTGGGTGGTGATAAATCGATTTATGTCTCATTCGGTGTTTATACCCCGAGTTGATATGCCAACAAGGGGTAAATTAAATTTATTTTGGTGTAGTGGATCCATGGCAGGAGTAGCCATGATCATCCAATTGATTAGTGGCATCATTTGCTCTGTGGAATATGTAAAATTTGTGGGCTCGATGTTTGGGTTTGGCCAACCAGTTGGTGAACCTGGTCCCATAATAGATGGGTTATCTCTAGAGTTATTACGGTTTTTACACTTATGGGGTGCAAGGTTGCTTTTTGTGTGTTTGTTTGTTCATATGGGTCGTGGTATTTATTATAGTAGGTATAGTAAGAATCCGATAATGTGGAGCCTGGGGGTTGTGTTATATGTTCTCATCATGGCTGAAGCCTTCTTGGGTTATTTACTTCCTTGACACCAAATGTCTTATTGGGCTGGTGTGGTAATAAGAAGAATATTTTTATCTATCCCGCTTGTTGGCCCAACCTTGTATGTGTACTTACTTGGCTCTTATGATTTTGGTAGCAACATTATTAGCCGAGCGTTTGTAATTCATGTTGTTTTTGGTTTTGTTATTATATTTTTAATATTGTTGCACATTGTTAGTTTGCACAAGGTTGGTTCTAGAGATTCGTTTAAAAGTAGTGATAGTTATTCAGATTCTATTTTTTTTCATAAGTTGTATACGCGTAAGGATGTGTTTGTGTGATTAGTGGTATTATTTGTTACAATGCTTTTAGTTTGTTATAGTCCTTGACTTACTAGTTGTAAGGAGAATTTTATAGATCCGAATGCCCTATCCACACCAACCAACATAAAGCCAGAGTGGTACTTTCTTCCTTTTTATGCTATATTACGTTCCATAAAAAGTAAGATAGGCGGGATTGTGGTTGTAGTGTTGGTTATTGTTTTATTTTGGGTGCCAACCCCAACCTGGTACACAGGATTCGAAGGAATAATGCGTCGTTTGTTTTTTTGGGTATTTAGTTATAGTTTTATGTTTTTAGGTGTTTTGGGTTCTGTTGAGCCAACAAGTTTGTGTCAAATATTGAGACTTTTTACCAAAGTGCTGTTGTGCTTATCTCTTTTTTTTATAAAGGTTGGTGATTATTTTTATTATGTGGTTTATACTAAGTAGGTGTTAGAGGTATATTTATTTTTATTACTTGTTGTTTGTGTTTTATTACTTGTTGTTTGTGGAAAATTTATAAATCTTTTGATTGTTTTAGAAAATTTTAATATTTTGGTTTTATTTTTTTGTATTCAAAAAAAACCAAAAGCAGCTAAAGCTGCTTTTGTGTCTTTGTTGGTAGTTATGACACTAGAGGTGGCATTGGGGTTGGTGATAATTAGTCGAGTGTGGTTTTTAGGTGATTTAGGTTTTATGGTTTTACCGTAGGATTTTTGGGTTGTTTTTTATTATGAAAATTGCTTGTTGGTGAAATAAAACCAATACTGTGTTCTCACCCTAGAATTGTTGGTGTTTTTAGGGTTGATACGGTTGGGTGGTGCTTATTTTTTTTAGTGGTCTTATTATTTTTTTGTTTAATTCCACTTCTTTTAAAAATTAAAAAGAAGGTTGGGTTATTAATATTTTTTAGTTGTTTGTGTGGTGGTCTAAGCTTTGTATCAAAAAACTGTTTGGTTTTTTGGTTTTGTTATGAGGCATCCATCATTAGGGTGCTATTCTTGTTGTATTTGGATTCACCATACTCTGAGCGGTTTGTTGCTGGTTGGTATTTAATAGGCTATTCTGTTTTTTCTGGAGTACCGCTTTTGTGATTTTTTGTTTATGTTTCAAACATGTGTGGAAGGTTTTTATTTTTAGACTGGGGAAACTGTTTCGATCACACAGAGATTTTTGTTATTTTAGCATTGCTGTTTACAACGAAGATACCGTTGGCTCCATTTTATACATGACTACCCATTGTTCACGCCGAAGCTAGCACTATAGTATCTGTGTGTTTAAGTGGTTATATTATGAAGTTGGGGGTTATAGGTGTATATCGGGTGTCTTCCTTTTTATTTCCTGATGTGGTGAGTTTAACACTTTATACGTTCTTTGTTGTTTTGTTTTGTATATTGTGTTTTTTTTCTTCGTTAGTTGAACTGGATGGAAAGCGCTGGTTGGCCTTTCTAAGATTATCCCACATGGCAGTAGTGTTGTTATGTTTTGTGTGTTATTCTGGGCTTGGCTACTCAGCTATGGCACTATTTGGACTTAGCCATGGAATGTCTTCTGGGTTTCTTTTTTTGTTAATTTGATTTTTTTCACACCAGGGTGGTAGACGAAATGTTTTATATTTTGGTTGATGCTTCAACACGTCATGGTTTTTAATATTTATTTGTTTTTGTGGGTTTTGTTATGTAGCAAATTTTCCACCCTCAATTGGGTTTTTTATTGAAGTTTGATTAGTTGGGTTTATTATTAAAAATAGTAATCTAATTAGGGTGTTTTTAGTTTATTTATTTTTGAGCAGATTAATTCCAATAATATTGTTTGGTTTTGGTTTTATACGACGTATGGGTGTTGATAAATTTAAAAGATTTATGTTTTCAAGGGTAGTTTCTATGTTAAGTTTGATAGTTTTTCCATTAATAATTTCGTTGATTTAATTGTGGTAGCCAAATAGAATGGTGTATTAGCATGCTGTATTTTGGTTACAGACGAAACCAGATGTTTTCTATTAAGTTTTAGCTAGCTTAAAATAGAGCGTTAGTTTGAAGAACTACAGGTGAAGTATTTTCGCTAAAAAATGGTTTCTCGGTTTTTTGTTGTGTCATTACAATTTATGGTTGTACAAAGTTTTTATTATTCTTATTTTACTGTGTTATGTTTAGTGTTGTTACTTGTTTCTCAGTTTCCTTATGTTTGGAGGTTTACAAAAATTTATGTTGTTATACCCGTTTTAGTTGGACTCCGGCCGCTGGGTGTATCAATATATAAATTGTTTAGGTTTATTAAGATATTGAAGCTTTCTATTCCGAAGGGTTTACCATCACCCATGTTTTCTATGCTAATTATGCCTTTTATTTTTATAGGTGAATGTAGTAGTCAAATGATACGACCTGTGACACTAATATTGCGATTGTTGGTAAAATTGTCTTTTGCTTATTTGGTAACACTAACGCTAGCTAGGAAGTTTGTTGAGGGTTTATTGATTTTTGATATTTCGTTTGGTGCTATTTTTATATTTTGTTTTTCAGCATTTTATTTTTTTTATGAAGTATTTATGTGTTTTTTGTTGACATATGTTTCACACGTGATGTTATTATCACTAATAAGGGACATGTATCATGTGTTGTCTGTGAGGTTTTTTAGTAAGTAGGTGATTGTTTTTTATTATAGAATAATATTGGTTTGTGGTGTGTTGTGTGGATTGATTGGTTTGTTTTCTAAAAGTTTGGTTGTGTTGACTATTTTAATGGAAAGTATGTCAATTATATTTATAGTATCGTTTTTTTTGTGATCAGAAAAACCTGTTGCAAACAAAGTGTACAAGGGAGCTACAATGTTTTTTGTTGTTACTGCTGTGTCTGGGTTATTTATATTTTCTGGGTGAATGTGTGATTCAATTGGTTTTGTTATGTTTGGGGTTATGATGAAGCTAGCAATTTATCCATTTTGTGGTTGGGTTGTTGATGTTTATAGTGTAAGTGGTTATGTTCCGATTGTGGTGTTGTCAACAGTATATAAGATTCCTTTATTTTTTATATGTTTTTTATGTGATTGAAACACACACATGGGGGGAATAGTTTTTTTTT